GAAAGATGGGAACTGAAGACGTGTAAAGGCTTGTGTTATGTAAGTGCATTCTTCTTCTAGAAAACAAGGGCTGGAGATGCGAAGAGGTCTCAAGAAGAAGCCAATAAGGACTCCTCTCTTAGTGCGGGTGACTTGGTGTGAATTAAAATGTATAAGATCGTCCTTGTTGGTAGGTTTTCTATACACTTTGAAGAGAAGTTTGTCACTGTCGGGAGATCTGCACAGTAGAACGTCGAGGAAAGGAAGTTTGCCATCATTTTCGAGTTCAAGTGTAAACTTTATTGATGGTTCAACTGCATTGAACTTGTTCAGAAGGGCCTTGATATTGAGAAGTCTCGGATAGAAAACCAATATATCATCAACGTATCTTAGCCAGGTAACGGTGATGGGAATGAGGGTGCTGAATTTCTCTGTCTCCAGGTTTTCCATGAAGAGGTTGGCAAGCACAGCACTGAGCGGGCTGCCCATTGCCATCCCAAAGCATTGTTTGTAACAGTTGTCCTGATACTTGAAGAAGTTGAAATTAACACAAAGTTCCACTAGATTGATGAAATCTAGAAGAGGTAAAGGGAGGTCGTGGTTTTCAGTGAGCCTCTGTCTCAGAATGTTGATTGCAGCGTCAGTAGGAACGTTGGTAAAGAGGGCTGTGACATCGAAGGAAGCCATGCTTCCTTCCCACTACTACTACTACTACTAGGACTACCACTTTTACTACTACTACTACTAGGACTATCACTTTTACTACTACTGCTAGGACTACCACTTTTACTACTACTACTACTACTGGGACTATCACTTTTACTACTACTACTACTAGGACTACCACTTTTACTACTACTACTAGGACTACAACTTTTACTACTACTACTACTACTAGGACTTCCACTTTTACTACTACTACTACTAGGACTACCACTTTTACTACTACTACTGCTAGGACTACCACTTTTACTACTACTACTAGGACTACCACTTCTACTACTACTACTGCTAGGACTACCACTTTTACTAATACTACTACTAGGACTACCACTTTTACTACTACTACTACTAGGACTTCCACTTTTACTACTACTAGGACTACCACTTTTACTACTACTACTGCTAGGACTACCACTTTTACTACTACTACTGCTAGGACTACCACTTTTACTACTACTACTACCACTTTTACTACTACTACTACCACTTTTACTACTACTACTACTAGGACAATTATTTTTACTACTACTACAACTACTAGGACTATCATTTTTATTACTACTACTTCTACTAGGACTATCACTTTTACTACTACTACTACTACTAGGACTATCACTTTTACTACTACTACTAGGACTATCACTTTTACTACTACTACTACTAGGACTATCACTTTTACTACTACTACTACTAGGACTATCACTTTTACTACTACTACTAGGACTATCACTTTTACAACTACTACTGCTACTAGGACTACCACTTTTACTACTACTACTATTAGGACTATCACTTTTACTACTACTACTACTAGGACTATCACTTTTACTACTACTACTACTAGGACTACCACTTTTACTACTACTACTACTACTACTAGGACTACCACTTTTACTACTACTACTACTAGGACTATCACTTTTACTACTACTACTACTAGGACTATCACTTTTACTACTACTACTACTAGGACTACCACTTTTACTACTACTACTACTAGGACTATCACTTTTACTACTACTACTACTACTAGGACTGCCACTTTTAATACTACTACTACTAGGACTATCAATTTTACTACTACTACTACTACTACTAGGACTATCACTTTTACTACTACTACTACTAGGACTACCACTTTTACTACTTCTACTACTACTAGGACTATCACTTTTACTACTACTACTACTAGGACTATCACTTTTACTACTACTACTACTCGGACTACCACTTTTACTACTACTACTACTACTACTAGGACTACCACTTTTAATACTACTACTAGGACTATCATTTTTACTACTACTACTAGGACTATCACTTTTTCTACTACTAATACTACTACTAGGACTATCATTTTTACTACTACTACTAGAACTATCACTTTTACTACTACTACTACTAGGACTACCACTTTTACTACTACTACTACTAGGACTACCACTTTTACTATTACTACTACTACTAGGACTACCACTTTTACTACTACTACTACTACTACTACTAGGACTACCACTTTTACTACTACTACTACAACTAGGACTATCACTTTTACTACTACTACTATTAGCACTACCACTTTTACTACTACTACTACTACTACTAGGACTACCACTTTTACTACTACTACTACTACTAGGACTATCACTTTTACTACTACTACTACTAGGACTACCACTTTTACTACTACTACTAATAGGACTACCACTTTTACTACTACTACTACTAGGACTACCACTTTTACTACTACTACTAGGACTACCACTTTTACTACTACTACTACTACTACTAGGACTACCACTTTTACTACTACTACTACTAGGACTACCACTTTTACTACTACTAGGACTACCACTTTTACTACTACTACTACTACTAAGACTATCACTTTTACTACTACTACTTCTAGGACTACCACTTTTACTACTACTACTACTAGGACTACCACTTTTACTACTACTACTACTACTAGGATTATCACTTTTACTACTCTTACTACTAGGACTACCACTTTTACTACTACTACTACTAGGACTATCACTTTTACCTCTACTAGGACTATCAGTTTTACTACTACTACTACTACTAGGACTACCACTTTTACTACTACTACTACTACTACTAGGACTACCACTTTTACTACTACTACTAGGACTACCACTTTTACTACTACTACTAGGACTACCACTTTTACTACTACTACCAGGACTACCACTTTTACTACTACTACTACTAGGACTACCACTTTTATTACTACTACTACTAGGACTACCACTTTTACTAATACTAATAGGACTACCACTTTTACTACTACTACTAAGACTACCACTTTTACTACTACTACCAGGACTACCACTTTTACTACTACTACTACTAGGACTATCACTTTTACTACTACTACTACTACTAGGACTACCACTTTTACTACTACTACTAGGACTACCACTTTTACTACTACTACTAGGACTACCACTTTTACTACTACTACTCCTACTAGGACTGCCACTTTTACTACTACTACTACTAGGACTATCACTTTTACTACTACTACTAGGACTACCACTTTTACTGCTACTACTAGGACTACCACTTTTATTGCTACTACTACTAGGACTACCACTTTTACTACTACTACTAGGACTACCACTTTTACTACTACTACTAGGGCTACCACTTTTACTACTACTACTAGGACTACCACTTTTACTACTACTACTACTAGGACTACCACTTTTACTACTACTACTAGGACTACCACTTTTACTACTACTACTAGGACTACCACTTTTACTTCTACTACTAGGACTACCACTTTTACTACTACTACTAGGACTACCACTTTTACTACTACTACTAGGACTACCACTTTTGCTACTACTCCTAGGACTACCATTTTTACTACCACTTCTACTGCTAGGACTACCACTTTTACTACCACTTCTACTACTAAGACTACCAGTTTTACTACCACTTCTACTGCTAGGACTACCACTTTTACTTCTACTACTACTACTAGGACTACCACTTTTACTGCCACTTCTACTGCTAGGACTACCACTTTTACTACTACTAGGACTACCACTTTTACTACTACTACTACTACTAGGACTACCACTTTTACTACTACTAGGACTACCACTTTTACTTCTACTACTACTACTAGGACTACCACTTTTACTACTACTACTACTACTAGGACTACCACTTTTACTACTACTAGGACTACCGCTTTTACTTCTACTACTACTACTAGGACTACCACTTTTACTACTACTAGGACTACCACTTTTACTACTACTACTACTACTACTAGGACTATCACTTTTACTACTACTAGGACTACCACTTTTACTACTACTACTACTACTAGGACTACCACTTTTACTACTACTAGGACTACCACTTTTACTTCTACTACTACTACTAGGACTACCACTTTTACTACTACTAGGACTACCACTTTTACTACTACTACTACTACTAGGACTATCACTTTTACTACTACTAGGACTACCACTTTTACTACTACTACTACTACTACTAGAACTACCACTTCTACTACTACTACTAGGACTACCACTTCTGCTACTACTACTAGGACTACCACTTTTACTACTACTAGGACTACAACTTCATTTCTGCTACCATTGCTTATATCTCCCTTCACTCCCTCCTCTCTTTTTTGCACTAAAACTACTCTCCGTACTTTCTACTACCACCACCACTACTACTACTACTACTACTACTTCCACTACCAGCATTATCACTACCACTACTTTTTCTTCCTCTCTTGGTCCCGTCCCTCACCCCCTCTCCTATATATACTGGCTCAATCTTTTGTAAATGGTCCAAGTCTGGTGGTAACATTGTCGTAAGCTTCAGTCTGCTGTGTGCTGGTTACATGTGTCTTACTCCCCATATTTGGTCAATTTGGTTCTACATATTTACCGAAGATTCCCATGTAGTGGCAGAATTAGAGAGCATTAATGTGAGCATTAGGTGAGCATTAATGCAGTGTTCATGTCTCTAAGAATTTTTCACATATACCTGAAAACTCGTACCCGGTCACTAATTAAACCTGTTCCAATATTTATACTGTCCGCTAACTTTTCACAGTCACTGTCTGTTAGCTTCCCTCCTCTTAATACCAACAATCACCTTTTATTTGCGTCCCTCCTCACAATAGCATTAATCCATACCACGGGCGGGATTTGAACCCGGGTTTGTTTGCAATCGTGTCATTACGATTTCGTGAGTCAATAGCAACAATCCTTGGTGAATCAGAATGGCTGACTAACCATGCCAGTAGAAGGGTGAGGGCAGGTAGCCTCATCTTCACCGCCCTCACAGTCGTACGCACCGTCACACACCCACTGAGCGTCGATACACATCCCAGACTCACACCTGTAACATAAACTGCGTGAAAACAAACATACCGAGAATTTAATAACAGAGCGTCTGTATTACCTGGAGAAAGAGAGAGTAATCACTTCATTACTGAATAAATTCTATTAACTAGGCAAACCAACTCGATAAAATTGTATACAAAGTTCAGATCACCAAATCTTGTTATATTTATTGTTTTAAAATTCTTTTTCACGTTCTACAAGTACAGTGAAACCTCGGTGTTTGAACTTAAATGGTTCCTAGGTGGTGTTTGAACTTAAATGGTTCCTAGGTGGTGTTTGAACTTAAATGGTTCCTAGGTGGTGTTTGAACTTAAATGGTTCCTAGGTGGTGTTTGAACTTAAATGGTTCCTAGGTGGTGTTTGAACTTAAATGGTTCCTAGGTGGTGTTTGAACTTAAATGGTTCCTAGGTGTGGTGTTTGAACTTAAATGGTTCCTAGGTGGTGTTTGAACTTAAATGGTTCCTAGTGGTGTTTGAACTTAAATGGTTCCTAGGTGGTGTTTGAACTTAAATGGTTCCTAGGTGGTGTTTGAACTTAAAATGGTTCCTAGGTGGTGTTTGAACTTAAATGGTTCCTAGGTGGTGTTTGAACTTAAATGGTTCCTAGGTGGTGTTTGAACTTAAATGTTCCTAGTGGTGTTTGAACTTAAATGGTTCCTAGGTGGTGTTTGAACTTAAATGCGTTCCTAGGTGGTGTTTGAACTTAAATGGTTCCTAGGTGGTGTTTGAACTTAAATGGTTCCTAGGTGGTGTTTGAACTTAAATGGTTCCTAGTGGTGTTTGAACTTAAATGGTTCCTAGTGGTGTTTGAACTTAAATGTGTTCCTATGGTGGTGTTTGAACTTAAATGGTTCCTAGGTGGTGTTTGAACTTAAATGGTTCCTAGGTGGTGTTTGAACTTAAATGGTTCCTAGGTGGTGTTTGAACTTAAATGGTTCCTAGGTGTGTGTTGAACTTAAATGGTTCCTAGGTGGTGTTTGAACTTAAATTTTTGGTTCCTAGGTGGTGTTTTGAACTTAATGGTTCCTAGGTGGTGTTTGAACTTAAATGGTTCCTAGGTGGTGTTTGAACTTAAAATGGTTCCTAGGTGGGTTTGAACTTAAATGGTTCCTAGGTGGTGCTTGAACTTAAATGGTTCCTAGGTGGTGTTTGAACTTAAATGGTTCCTAGGTGGTGTTGAACTTAAATGGTTCCTAGGTGGTGTTTGAACTTAAATGGTTCCTAGGTGGTGTTTGAACTTAAATGGTTCCTAGGTGGTGTTTGAACTTAAATGGTTCCTAGGTGGTGTTTGAACTTAAATGGTTCCTAGGTGGTGTTTGAACTTAAATGGTTCCTAGGTGGTGCTTGAACTTAAATGGTTCCTAGGTTGTGCTTGAACGTAAATGGTTCCTAGGTGGTGTTTGAACTTAAATGGTTCCTAGGTGGTGTTTGAACTTAAATGGTTCCTAGGTGGTGTTTGAACTTAAATAGTTCCTAGGTGGTGTTTGAACTTAAATGGTTCCTAGGTGTGTTTGACTAATGGTTCTAGTGTTGAACTTAAATGGTTCCTAGGTGGTGTTTGAACTTAAAATGGTTCCTAGTGGGTGTTGAACTTAAATGGTTCCTAGGTGGTGTTTGAACTTAAATGTTCCTAGGTGGTTTTGAACTTAAATAGTTCCTAGGTGGTGTTGAACTTAAATAGTTCCTAGGTGGTGTTGAACTTTAAATGGTTCCTAGGTGGTGTTTGAACTTAAATGGTTCCTAGGTGGTGTTTTGAACTTAAATAGTTCCTAGGTGGTGTTTGAACTTAAATGGTTCCTAGGTGGTGTTTGAACTTAAATGGTTCCTAGGTGGTGTTTGAACTTAAATGGTTCCTAGGTGGTGTTTGAACTTAAATGGTTCCTAGGTGGTGTTTGAACTTAAATGGTTCCTAGGTGGTGTTTGAACTTAAATGGTTCCTAGGTGGTGTTTGAACTTAAATGGTTCCTAGGTGGTGCTTGAACTTAAATGGTTCCTAGGTGGTGTTTGAACTTAAATAGTTCCTAGGTGGTGTTTGAACTTAAATAGTTCCTAGGTGGTGTTTGAACTTAAATAGTTCCTAGGTGGTGTTTGAACTTAAATAGTTCTTAGGTGGTGTTTGAACTTAAATGGTTCCTAGGTGGTGTTTGAACTTAAATGGTTCCTAGGTGGTGCTTGAACTTAAAAGGTTCCTAGGTGGTGTTTGAAGTTAATTAAATGGTTCCTAGGTGGTGTTCGAACTGCAAATAGTTCGATGTCCGAAGCAGTATTTCCCAGGCTTTAGTTATCACCCTCACACACACTGGAGGATGTTGAACTGACTCTTCCAAAAGTCTCTGTGAGTTGGGTCACTATCAAAGGTCACTTTAAAGCACTTTTGACACATGGCTTTCCTGTAAACTTCTTTTACAACTGAATTATAATAAGTCAGCTCGTTCGGACTCCAGAAAACGTTCAAAGACCTGATTATTTTTTTTTTTTAACAAAATTCTTCGGACTCTGTTGGAGGTCAGGTGCGTTCGAAAACCAAGGTTCCAATATTGATTGTTTACAGTTTTTGAGTGGCAGTGTGGGGACATCTAGGTAACTGACCTGAAATCATCAAGGTAACAAGTAGTCACGTTACAGTTGTGCTCGTCGGACCAGTCACCACAGTCGTCCTCACCGTCACAAACGTAATGTTTCATCACACAACGACCCTCCGTCGCGCACGCTACGTGGTCCGCACTGCACGTGCTTTGTACAACTGTATCTGTTGAAGCCAACATTTGTCTTACTGACAGTAACTAACATTAACAACAGTATGTAGTCTAATAAACACACTTCTACTCTTAGGTTACATAAATCTTTCTCCCCTCTCTCTCTCTCTCTTTTTTTCTCTCTCTCTCTCCTCCTCTCTCTCTCTCTCCTCTCTCTCTCCCCTTTTCTCTCTCTTCTCTCTCTTCCTCTCTCCCTCCCCCTCTCTCCTCTCTCTCTTTTCCCTTTTCTCTCTCTCTCTCCCCTCTCTCTCTCTCTTTTTTATATAATAAAATTTATTATGATATAAGTATTATATTATATAAATATATAAATATTATTATATTATATAATATAAATATATATATATAAATATATAATATATATATATATATATATATATATATATATATATATATATATATTGTGTGTGTGTGTGGTGTGTGTGTTGTGTGTGTGTGTGTGTGTGTGTGTGTGTGTGTTGTGTGTGTGGTGTGTGGTGTGTGTGTAATGTGGTGCCGAATAGGTAAAACTTGCTATTTTGGCTTAAACAGCAACGGTTTTCTTGCCGAATAAGGCATGCGAAAATTTGTGTATGTAATAATTTCGCAAAAATCATTCTGAACCTAACGAAAAAAATATTTCATTGTGTTTGTTTATTATTAAATTATTTGTAAACTTAGCTAAGCTATATTTAGTTGGATTAAGCTAAATTATATTGCGCTTGTTAGAATAAGGTTAGGGAAGTTTTCTAAGGTTTTTTTGGTACAAAATTATTAATTACATTAAAATAAATGAAAAAATACATCTTTAAACGATAAGTGAAAATTTTAGAAAGGACTTAATTTTAAATGAGTTCTTACTAATTGATCAATTTTACCTATTTGGGACGATACACCACACACACACACACACAAAACACACACACACACACCACACACACACACACATACACACACACACACACACACACACATAAAACCACACACACACACACACACACACACAACACACACACATACACACACACACACACACAAACACACACACACACACACAACACACACACACACACACACACACACACACACACACACACATACACCCCCACACACACACACACACACACACCCCACACACACACACACACCCCATACACACACACACACACACACACACACACACACACACATACACACACACACACTCACACACACACACACACATACACACACACACATACACCACACACACACATACACACACACACAACACACACAAACAAGCTACCACACCACACACACACACACACACAGTACACTACACACCCAACAACACACACACACACACAAACACACATCACACACACACACACACATGACGACAACACAACACACACATACACACACACACACACACACACACTACACACAAACACAACACCATACCACACAACACATACACACAACACACCCACACACACATACACCACCACACCACACACCAATACACAACACACACACACACACACACACACATACACACACAACAACCCCACCACCACACATACACACACACCACACCAACCACACACACACCAAAACACACACACACACAACACACACACCCACACACACATACACACACAACACACACACACCAACACACACACATACCACCACACACACCACACACACACACACACACACACACACACATACACCACACACACACACACACACACCACACACACACTACACACACACACACACACACACACACACACACACACACACACAACATACAACCACACACACACACACACACACACACACACATACACACACACCATACACCACACACACATACACACACAACACACACACCACATCACACAACACACCACACACACAAATACACACACACACACACACACCACACACATACACCAGCTAAGGAAGGAGGAGAGAAAAACAGAAATGACCGGATATGTAAGACTCAACAGAGATCAAAAGTGTCACAGAGAACAGAAGGACCCAGAAAGACGGAGAGTGGGGCACACCACCAAGTGCTGACAATGCACACAACCGGGGAAGAATGAAAGGCTTCGATGACTAGTTTACCTAAAAGGGCAATGGGGCCAGATAACATCTCCCCATGGTATTGAAGAGGGAGCGGGGCCTATGTGAAACCCCTACAACCAATATTCAATACATCAAATCGAACAGGGAAAATGCCTGAGGCATGGAAGACGCAAATGTAGTCCCAATCTTTAAAAAAGAGACAGACATGAAGCATTAAACTACAGAACCAGTCACTGACTTAATAAATCAAAACTGGATAAGATTATCAGGAGAAAGAGATGTTGGAAACCCCTTTAAAAAAAGGGGAATATCTCAACAACGACCACAAAAAAAAAATTAAAAATTTTGTTCAAAACTCATTCTTAGGGGGGAAAAATAAAAAAAAATTTTGTTTTCTTTCGGACTCGGGGGAAAAAATTTTAAATTTTAAATTTTAAAATTTTTTTGATCCTGGAGTATAATGTAGACACAGTTTACCCCCAAACACGTCCGTTCAGGGTGGGGTGTTCCTTACAAGCGTTCCTGGTATCTGTTCTATTTGCCAGGAATACTGTAAAACAAAACCCAAAATAGCATAAAAAATACCGGCCATTGCCTTTCTGGAAATTAAAAAAAAAAGGAAATTAACCCTTCGGTATAACTAACATTCATACCACCGGTTGTCTTTCTTTTGGGGGACACTGGACACTACCCCGTGTATGAAACTCGATATAACGGACGAAAAGGGTAAGGGATGTCCGCTATTTCAAAATAAAGTTAAAAAAAATAGCAATAGAGAACACTAAAGTATTCTACTTTATGTCTAATATGAAATTTACTGACATACTGTCAGTGCTGCATGACCCTTGTTGGTTTAGCGCTTTCTTTGATTATTATAATAATAACTGACATACTGTCATAAACACTGACAGGGAATACGTCAAAAATATTGTTTGCTCAGTGGATTTTGTATATATCTAAAAAAAGTTATATCGGGTGTCCGTTATATCTAGAGTATAGTTGTAACTCAGTGGAAACAGTGCAATGATCAACCAAATAAATTTTCATCATGATGAGAAAAAATTAAAATATATTATAAACCCGAGAAAAAAAAACCAGACAAAGATCATTGAGGGGAACAAGAGCGATTTTAAATTCTAATAATCCATAAAAATCATGGGTGTCAATTTAGAGTGGGAAGGTTCTTGATCCAAGGAATGTGAGAAACAATCCCTCTTCCTTGGATCAAGCAGGACATAAAATGATCCACCCGTACGAGCTTAGGGGGTTTCTCCTTCACTTGATCACGAAAATAATCTCTCCCTACCAAACAAACCACAAAACCGACACACGTAAAGAAATTAATTGAAAAAAAAAGGGGAAATTTCCCAAGTCAACATTACAAAGTCGGAAACAAGATGGTAAGAACGTCAAACGTACTGCAGAATTTTTCGTCTGATGAATCAGGCAGTCAGGGTTTACCATCACAGAGCCAAGATCGTTCAATGCAGTGGCCGTCTCCACACATGGGTACGAGAAACTGCAGCTGCAAAACACATATGCAATTACCACTGCAACTTTAACCTGTTTAATAAAGAATGAAAAAAGTCAAAAACAGTGACTGGAACAATAAAACAAATAATCCGCACTTTGAAGAACAAAACTTTTGACATTATGGTCCGAATTGACCGTTAATGGTCTTAACAGTAGGGGAACGTCGTCGAAAGTTTGTCTCATATATATATATATAAAATATATATAATATATATATAATATATATATATATAATATATGAGACCCAAAATGCCGGGAGCAATGGGCTAGTAACCCCTTCTCCTTAGGGCATTTACTAAAAAAGAGAAGAAAAAAAACTTTATAAAACTGGGATACTTAATGTGCGTGATGTAGTGCGGATGACAAGAAACAATGATTGCTGATGTTAATGAATGAAAAGAAGTTGGATGTTCCTGGCCCTAAGCGAAACAAAGCTGAAGGGGGTAGGGGGGTTTCGGTGGGGGAAATAAATAGATTAAATCTGGAGTATCTGAAGAGTTAGAGTAAAGGAAGGGGAGCAGTAATGTTAATGATCAGTTATGGAAGGAGAAAAGAGAATAAGAATGTGTAAATTCAAGAATTATGTGGAAATTTAAAATAAAGGTTGGATGCGAGAAGTGGGTCATAATAAGCGTGTATGCACCTGAGAAGAGAGGAATGTAAGGAGAGAGAGAGATTTTGGAGATGTTAAGTGAATGAAAAGGACCTTTGAACCAAGTGAGAGAGTAATTGTGGTAGGGGGCCTGAATGCTAAAGTAGGAGAAACTTTAGAGGGTGTGGTAGGTAAGTTTGGGTGCCAGGTGTAAATGATAATGGAGCCCTTTGATTGAACTTTGTAAAAGAAAGGGTTTAGTTATAGGTAATACATAATTAAGAAAAGAGGATAACTAATAAAACAAGAATGATGTAGGGAGAAATGACAGTAGTTTGTTGGATTATTATTGGGAATAAAAGCTGTTAGTTAACTTCGGGTTTACATTTTATAAAGGGGCCACAGATAATCAATCACTTTTTAATTGGGAGATTTAGGTATTGGGAAGATGGGGGAATATTTTAGGAATTGTTAAATGTTGATGAAGATAGGGAAGCTGTGATTTTTGGAAAGGGGAAAAACAACTCACAACTCGAAGTAACCCCTCACCCTAAACTCCCAATCACGAGAAGCTCCTCCCCTGTCGCCTCAGCCCCCATCACCACAAGTCCAGTTTCTTCCATCAAGAAAGATGCAGTCACTTCTGAAGATTCCATCCTTCTACGTCGTCCCGTAGTGTTTTTCAGGCTTACAGTTGGGTCTAGCCCGACCTTCTCTCCACCAAGACATTCCTCTCACCGTCTATTTTTTCCCCTTTGTCCCCCATTTGCCCCTGGGCTCTCGGGGTCCTTACCTGTGATCCGTTTGTTGTTGTTGCTGTGCTTCAGAATCTTCACGACTAGGGTGCCTTCATCCCAACCCCAAGCTGAGGGAGATTACCTCTTTTTTTGTATATATTTTTCTGCTGTCTTCAAACTATGTCCTAGAACTGTACGATAAACCACTGGAGGCGAAACCTACAATAAAGAACCCGGTCGAAAAGTTCGAGAAATTGCCCCAAAATTTTCGTATTTTACATAAAAAGTGCCGGGCTAAACTACTCCCCCCAAACTTACGAAACTTTGACTTGCCCACATTTGATTTTACTGAACCACCCCTATGTAATCACCCAATTTCTGTCCCCCCCGTTTTCATTTTTTCCTGATCTTATAGGGGATCGATAAAAAATTCCCCTAATGGTGCATAAGGGAGCCTCACTCATACAGCAGAGGCTCGGGACTACAGAGAGCCTCACTCATACACGGGGTAGGCCTGGATACAAACCCCCTCATATCAGCGGGTTAGGCTCGGACAAAGGGAAAAGCCCACTCAAAAACAGCGGGTTAGGCTCTGAACAGCTGTAAAATAAAAATTACATAAATTGAAACATGGTTTTTTTATCACTTTCAAATCATAAAAAGCCTGATAACATATTTATACGTCATTTTTTTTAAGTGACACTAGAGCTAGACCAAAAAAGGGCAAAAAATAACACTTAACCTTAAAATTATTTTGATCCTCGCTTATAGTAATGGTGAATACATTTTTTGGGAAGCTAATAAATAAAAATAGGTACAAGAAAACCGCTGTTTAGCGAGTCACGTAAAGTGAAGCGCGCAAAGGGGGTCCTCTTGTACGTATTTTTAATTCAATAATCCACCTTTTCACTGGGCTGGCAACTACAACGGCCTATGCCCCTCCTTATCAGCCTCCGTCATTATAAATTTTTAATCTATCTTATAGATTTTAATCATTAAACTTTTTTGATCCCGGTTAAAGTAGACACAGTTTATCCAACTTCCGTTTAACTAATCAAATTCTCTGAGATTCCCGGTGGGGCATTCTTTACAAGCGTGTCCGGACTGGCAAGTCCAGAATCTGTCAACAAACCAAAACATAAACAAATCCGGCCTTTACTTTCTGGAAATTTTAAAAAAAAAAAAATGGAAATTAATCCTTCTGGTATAACTTAACATTCATACCATCCAGTTTGTCTTTTTTGGGACACTGGACACGCTCGTGTAGAAACTCGATTAAAGGACGAAAAGGGTAAGGGATTCCGCTATTTCAAAAAAAGGTTAAAAAAATAGCAAAAGAGAACACTGAAGTATTCTACTTTATGTCTAATATGCAATTTACTGACATACTGTCAGTGCTGCATGACCCTTGTTGGTTTAGCGCTTTCTTTGATTATTATAATAATAACTGACATACTGCATTAAAAACGACAGGGGAAAACTCAAAGAATTGTTTGCTCAGTGGATTTTGTATATATCTAAAAAAAGTTATATCGGGTGTCCGTTATATCGAGAGTATAGTTGTAACTCAGTGGAAACAGTGCAATGATAAACAAAATAAATTTTCATCATGATGAGAAAAAATAAAATATATTATAAACCCGAGAAAAAAAACCCAGACAAAGATCATTGACGGGAAGAAGAGCGACTTTATTCTAATAATCCATGAAATCATGGGTGTCAATTTAGAGTGGGAAGGTTCTTGATCCAAGGAATGTGAGCAACAATCCCTCTTCCTTGGATCAAGCAGGACAGTAAAATGATCCACCCGTACGAGCTTAGGGGTTTCTCCTTCAGCTTGATCACGAACAATAATCTCTCCCTTACCAAACAAACCACAAAACCGACACACGTAAAGAAATTAATTGAAAATAAAAGGGAAATTTCCCAAGTCAACATTAACAAAGTCAGGGAAACAAGATGGTAAGAACGTCAAACGTACTGCAGAATTTTTCGTCTGATGAATCAGGGCAGTCAGGTTCACCATCACAGAGCCAAGATCGTTCAATGCAGTGGCCGTCTCCACACATGTGGTACGAGAAACTGCAGCTGCAAAACACATATGCAATTACCAGCTGCAACTTAACAGCTGTTATATAAAGAATGAAAAAGGACAATACAGTGACTGGAACAATACACAAATAATCCGCACTTAGAAGAACAAAACTTTTGACATTATGGTCCGAATTGGACCGTTAATGGTCCTAACAGTACGGGAACGTCGTCGAAAGTTTGTCTCATATATACATATATATATATATATATATATATATATATATATATATATATATATATATATATATATATATATATATATATATATATATATATATATATATATATATATATATATACATATGTATATATATATATATATATATATATATATATATATATATATATATATATATATATATGTGTGTGTGTGTGTGTGTGTGTGTGTGTGTGTGTGTGTGTGTGTGTGTGTGTGTGTGTGTGTGTGTGTGTAATATTAAATTTAATATGTATTTACATATTACGGCTTTCTAAAACAAAAATATCTTAATCTGTGTTCATGTTTACCCCTTTATAGTTTATCCTTCAAAAAATATAACCACTTCTATGGTCACTTTAGCTGAGTAATTCAACTGACACGTTAACTGGTAATTATAGATCAACCTGACAGTAACTCAAGCGTTTTTAAAAATTGAACATAACCCTGAACTAATTACTTGGAATATACGTGCATATACACCCATGTATATGTATATACACTCAGCTACAGTATATCTGTATTTGCTTCTTACATTAACATTATTTACCTGGTGTTGTGAACCGCCAGCATCAGTACCTTAAGTAAAAGGACACATGTGCAACTGATGCCACATTTTATTGTGGCAACGTCTCGCCCTTCACAAACTTTGTCAAAGCTTGACAAAACTTGAAAATTAGACACATATGTGTTCTTTTGCCTAAAATATTCCCGGTGATTCTACCAATATTATTACACATCATTAATAAGAATTAATTGGATAGTTATGTTCCCAGCAACATGGCTATCACTGTGATAGACACTCACCTGGTTGACGGACAATCAGCCTCATCAGACTTGTCATGGCAATCAAAATCTCCATCGCAGCGCCAGATGACCGGGATACAGTAATCACCATTTGTACAGTTAAACTGGTCGGGTCCTGTGCAGTTTTGTACTAATGGAGGTATGTCTGAAGAAAAGATGTTAAAGAAAGAAAAAGAGAAAGATTTATTATTTATAAGTTATAATGAATTTATGAGTTTAACTGGTTACAAAAGAACAAGCTGGTATAGATCCTCTTTTTACGAGAGGATCTTTACCACGTGAACTGATTTGAAAAGAAACATGTTTCAAACCAGACTTTGTGTGTAATAAAGGCTTACCATACCACGGGTGGGGTTAGAACCCGCGATCAGAGAGTCTCAAAACTCCAGACCGTCGCGTTAGCCACTGGACCAGCTAGCTGGCCCAGTGGCTAACGCAGTGGTCTGGATTTTTGAGACTGATCGTGTCGTTACGATTTCGTGAGTCATAATAAAGGTTTATTCTGTGTAAAGATAATTATGTTAAAAACTTGCTGAACAACTGTGTATTAAGAATGAACAAATGTTTCTAATGATGTTCATCTCAGCGACAAGTTGATATTTGTGCAATGAATTATTAAGTGTTACAGTCCACAAGATACACTGAGTACAACATATCAAGAATTAAGAGAACACATAAAATGGAGCACTGCGGAAGGCCTACTGGCCCCATGGTAAACAAATCCAAGTCACACCTACTTCAAAATGAAGGAACACTGCCGCAGACCTACTGGCCCAAGCTAGGCACGTTTAATTCACACCCACACATGTACTTGTCTAACCTATTTTTAAAGCTACACATAATACAAGAAGATTAAGAAAAAGTACTAGAAATGAGCCAGTAGGTAACTTGAACCTGCCTAACTTAGGCCAGTAGGTAACTTGAACCTGCCTAACTTAGGCCAGTAGGTAACTTGAACCTGCCTAACTTAGGCCAGTAGGCCTGCTGTAGTGCTCTTCCTTTCTCATGTTCTTATGAAATTGTAAAAAAAACTACAAAATCGATAATTCTGGAAGAGAAGAAAAGGAATTATTGAAGAGTAAATAATTATCTAATGACTTTCAGAATTATTGGTAATTATAATGATATTAAACACGTTACTGATTACAGAACTAGATATATATATATAATATATTTTATATATATATATATATATATTATATATATATATATATATATATATATATATATATATATATGCAACGACATAGTGGAACTCTGGTGCTGAGGCAGCAAACCCGTAAGGGTTACAGGATGTATGGGACACTGAACGTAATTATCACATCACTAGGACCACCACTACCACTATCACGAGCACCACCACAAGGAGCACACCACCAGGAGCACCACCACCAGGAGCACACCAACAGGAGCACCACTACCACGAACACCACCACCAGGACCACCACTACCACTATCACGAACACCACCACAAGGAGCACACCACCAGGAACATCACCACCAGGAGCACACCACCAGAACCACCACTACCACGAACACACCACCAGGACCACCACTACCACTATCACGAGCACCACCACAAGGAGCACACCGCCAGGAGCACCACCACCAGGAGCACACCACCAGAACCACCACTACCACGAACACCACCACCAGGACCACCACTACCACTATCACGAACACCACCACAAGGAGCACACCACCAGGAACACCACCACCAGGAACACCACCACCAGGACCACCACTACCACGAACATCACCACCAGGACCAAAACTACCACTACCACGAACACCACCACCAGGACCACCACTACCACTATCACGAACACCACCACCAGGAGCACACCACTAGGAACACCACCACCAGGAACACCACCACCAGGAGCACCACTACCACGAACACCACCACCAGGACACCACTACCACTATCACGAACACCACCACCAGGAGCACACCACCAGGAACACCACCACCAGGAACACCACCACCAGGAACACCACCACCAGGACCACCACTACCACGAACACCACCACCATGACCAAGACTACCACTACCACGAACAACACCACCAGGACCACCACTACCACGAACATCACCACCAGGGCCACCACTACCACGAACATCACCACCAGGACCAAGACTACCACTACCACGAACACCACCACCAGGACCACCACTACCACTACCACGAACACCACCAGGATCACCACTACCACGAACACCACCACCAGGACCACAGCTACCACGAACACCACCAACAGGACCAAGACTACACTACCACGAACACCACCACCAGGACCACCACTACCACGAACATCACCACCAGGATCACCACTGCCACTACCACGAACATCACCACCAGGACCACCACTACCACGAACACCACCACCAGGACCACAACTACAACGAACACCACCACCAGGACCACGGCTACGGCTACGGCTACCACTACCACGAATATCACCACCAGGAACACCATCATCAGGAACACCACCACCAGGAACACCACCACCATCAGGAACACCACCACCAGGAACACCACTACCAGGAGCACCACCACCAGGAACACCTCCACCAGGACCATCACCACCAGGAACACCACCACCAGGAACACCACCAACAGGAACACCACCGCCAAGAACACCACCACCAGGAACACCACCACAAGGAACACAACCACCAATAACACCAGTAATACCACCATCAGGAACACCATCGTCAGGAACACGACCACAAGGAACACCACCACCAGGAACACGACCATCAGGAACACCCCCCAAAAAGAGCGCCACCGCCAGGAACACCACCACCAGGAACACCACCACAAGGAACACCACCACAAGGAACACCACCATCAGGAACACCACGGCCAGGAACACACCACCAGAATCACCACCACATGGAACACCACCGCCAGGAACACCACCGCCAGGAACACCACCATCCGGAACACCATCATCAGGAACACCACAATCAGGAATACCACAGCCAGGAACACCACCACCAGGAACACCACCACCAGGAACACCACCAGGAACACCACCACCAGGAACACCACCACCAGGAACACCACCACCAGAAACACAACCACCAGGAACACAAACCACCAGGAACACAAACCACCAGGAACACCACCACCAGGAGCACCAACACTTCGAACACCACCACCAGAAGCACCACCACCGGGAGCACCACCACCAGAATCACCACCACCAGGAACACCACCACCAGAAGCACCACCACCAAGAGCACCACCACCAGAAGCACCACTACCAGAAGCACTACCACCAGGATTACCACCATTAGAAACACCACCACCAGAAGCACCAGCAGCACCATCACCACCAAAAACAGCACCACCAGGAGCACCACCACCAGGAACACCACAACCAGGAGCACCACCGAGAACACCACCACTAAGAGCACCATTACCAGGAACACCATCATAAGGGTTTCAACGCACAGGAACGACATCATCATCTCCACTGTTCCTGCTGCCTCCTCTGTATCTGACTGAAGAATAGGATGTAAATAGCTTAGATATACAACACGTTGGAGAATTAGATATATTTTCATTTGGGAGTCCTTATTAATGGAGGGAACGCATCGGTTCAAGGCTGAGGGACTGATTACCTCAGAGTCCTTCTCGTCTTCCACCATTAATCTCTGAATAAAATTGAGGAAGCCATTTGTTGGCGAAACTTTACGGAATAAAGATACCTCACTGTTGTACGAGTGTCTTGCTTGTCTGGACCCGCAACACTAGCACCAGCTTCAGGAGCAACAACACACCAGGAGACAACATTAGCCCAGGAGACAACAACATACCAGGAGACAACATACCAGGAGACAACATTATACCAGGAGACAACAACATACCGGGAGACAACATTATACCAGGAAACAACAACATACCAGGAGACAACATTATACCAGGAGACAACATACCAGGAGACAACATTATACCAGGAGACAACAACATACCAGGAGACAACATTAGACCAGGAGACAACGACATACCAGGAGACAAAAACATACCAGGAGACAACATTATACCGGGAGACAACAACATACCAGGAGACAACATTATACCAGGAGACAACAACATACCAGGAGACAACATTATACCAGGAGACAACATACCAGGAGACAACATTATACCAGGAGACAACAACATACCAGGAGACAACATTAGACAAGGAGACAACGACATACCAGGAGACAACAACATACCAGGAGACAACATTATACCAGGAGACAACAACATACCAGGAGACAACATTATACCAGGAGACAACATACCAGGAGACAACATTATACCAGGAGACAACAACATACCAGGAGACAACATTAGACCAGGAGACAACGACATACCAGGAGACAACATTATACCAGGAGAAAACAACATACCAGGAGACAACATACCAGGAGACAACATTATACCAGGAGACAACAACATATCAGGAGACAACATTAGACCAGGAGACAACGATATACCAGGAGACAACAACATACCTGGAGACAACAACAGACCAGGAGACAACATTAGACCAGGAGACAACAACATGCCAGGAGACAACAACATAACAGGAGACAACTCACCAGGACACAACAATATACCAGGAGACAACAACAGACTAGGACACAACAATATACCAGGAGACAACAACAGACCAGGAGGCAACAACATACCGGGAGACAGAAACATACCAGGAGACAACAACATACCTTGAGACAACAACATATCAGGAGACAACAATAGACCAGGAGACAACAACATACCAGGAGACAACAACATACCAGGAGACAACAACATACGAGGAGACAACAACATACCAGGAGACAACAACATACCAGGAGACAACAACATACCAGGAGACAACAACATACTAGGAGACAACAACATACCAGGAGACAACAACATACCGGGAGACAACAACACACCAGGAGACAACAACAGACCAGGAGACAACAACTTACCAGGAGACAAGAACATACCAGGAGACAACAACATACCGAGAGACAACAACATACCAGGAGACAACAACATACTAGGAGACAACAACATACCAGGAGACAACAACATACCAGGAGACAACAACATACCGGGAGACAACAACATACCAGGAGACAACAACATACTAGGAGACAACAACATACCAGGAGACAACAACATACTATGAGACAACAACATACCAGGAGACAACAACATACCAGGAGACAACAACATACCGGGAGACAACAACACACCAGGAGACAACAACAGACCAGGAGACAACAACATACCAGGAGACAACAATAGACCAGGAGACAACAATATACCAGGGGACAACAACATACCAGGAGAAAACAACATACTAGGAGACAACAACATACCAGGAGACAACAACATACCAGGAGACAACAACATACCAGGAGACAACAACATACCAGGAGACAACAACATACCGGGAGACAACAACATACCAGGAGAAAACAACATACTAGGAGACAACAACATACCAGGAGACAACAACATACCAGGAGACAACAACATACCAGGAGACAACAACATACCAGGAGACAACAACATACCGGGAGACAACAACACACCAGGAGACAACAACAGACCAGGAGACAACAACATACCAGGAGACAACAACATACCAGGAGACAACAACATATCAGGAGACAACAATAGACCAGGAGACAACAATATACCAGGGGACAACAATAGGCCAGGAGACAACAACATACCTGGAGACAACAACATACCAGGGGACAACAATAGACCAGGAGACAACAACAGACCAGAAGACAACAATAGACCACAAGACAACAACATACCCGGAAGCAACAACATACCGGGAGACAACAACATACCAGGAGACAACAACATACCAGGAGACAACAACATACCAGGAGACAACAACATACCAAGAGACAACAACATACCGGGAGACAACAACATACCAGGATACAACAACATACCAGGAGACAACAACATACCAGGAGACAACAACATACCGGGAGACAATAACATATCAGGAGACAACAAGATACCAGGAGACAACAACGTACCTGGAGACAACAACATACCGGGAGACAACAACATACCAAGAGACAACAACATACCGATAGACAACAACATATCAGGAGACAACAACATACCAGGAGACAACAACGTACCTGGAGACAACAACATACCGGGAGACAACAACATACCAAGAGACAACAACATACCGGGAGACAACAACATATCAGGAGACAACAACATACCAGGAGACAACAACGTACCTTGAGACAACAACATACCGGGAGACAACAACAGACCAGGAAACAAAAACACACCTGGGGTGAACAACAGACCAGGAGACAACAACATGCTAAAGAGACAACAACAGACCAGGAGACAACAACATGCTAAGAGACAACAACAGACCAGGAGACAACAACATGCTAAGAGACAACAACAGACCAGGAGACAACAACATGCTAAGAGACAACAACAGACCAGGAGACAACAACATGCTAAGAGACAACAACAGACCAGGAGACAACAACATACCAAGAGACAACAACATACCAGGAGACAACAACATGCTAAGAGACAACAACAGACCAGGAGACAACAACACACCAGGAGTCAACAACAGACCAGGAGACAACAACATGCTAAGAGACAACAACAGACCAGGAGACAACAACATGCTAAGAGACAACAACAGACCAGGAGGCACCAGCAGATCAAAAGGGAATGATAGGATCGAATACTCACTGCAGAAGCGCTCGTCAGTCTGGTCACCACAGTTATCGAAGGTGTCACACAGTTCTTCCTTTGAGATGCACTTCCCGTTAGAACACCGGAACTCTGTTGGGTGGGAGGGAAATAGAGATGTTAGAAAATATGCTGATGTGAGCTGTGAACTCACCTCTCAGAGGTGAGCTAATGAGAGGTGCAATTGTCAGCAAAGGAGAATGGTGAAGAACAGGAGGAGTTTGAGGTAATCAGTCCCTCAGCCTCGAGTCGATGTAGTCGGTCCATCAGTCTTGAAAAGAATACTATTCTCCTTTGTATGGACTGATGAAGTCACTGTGTGACGAAACGTTTCCTCAGTAAAGATACCCAAGTGTTGCACATGTGTCTAATTTATCAACTTGTCGGTTCTCTGAACCATTCATCTGCACTATGAGAAGTGGCCCAGAAGAAAGCATACTGGAGAGAGAGACAATGACAAGGCGACAGTCAGCCCCTGCAAAAGTTACAGTAAAATCGTGGATATGGAGAGACAACTCAACACAGACAGGTAGAACAGAGTAGGATCATTAATGGCTAATTAATTCATAATGGTTATAATTATATCCATAATTTTTAAAGAGGTGAATTGGTAAGCCAGCAGAAGGTCTCGGTCACATGACCATAAGCTCCCACTGTTGGGTAATCCTACGGCTAAGAATTGCTTCGAAAACCCATGGAACGGTCTTGGACCAAGACGTAGCGCCAAGCAATATCATAAATATTTTTAAGATTAATTTTTAGCGATGGTATTGCGAAAGTCTGATTACAAGTGAATTGAGAAGTCTTGGGAGAGTGAATTTCGGGTTTCCAAATATCAAACTTAATCTTTGTTTACTGTGCATTCCAACAAATAACAAATTGCACTCATAAGAGAGATGAGTCTGTATTGATCCATCTCTCTAGTTTTCGTTCTTAATTGTATTGCTTTTAACTGTTCAAAAGAGCCTGTTTAAGGAGCAAATTTCCGGAGATTTTTGACACTTTCTAAGAACTACCAGATCCCGACTACATGGGCACGTAGGCACGTAAGTCTCTTTCAAAATATGAGGTTTACCCAAACTTAGACTTGCAATGTGTTAAGGTCATTTCTTTTTTTTTGCTCTGGATTCGTCCCCCCCCCCTCCTCCTAAGAAAATTACTCACGCCCCCTTAGGGATGCGAGGCCCCTTCCCCCGCGGCTAAGAATCGCTGGAGTAGAGACTGTAGAGACAGTAGAAGCTGCCACAATTGGAGAAGACAAAGAGAGGGTATCGGTGTCCTAGGATAAAGGACTCGGGGTGAGGAGAGACGGCTCAGTGGGAGTATGTGGAGCTGGATGGTTATCCACAACTGTCACAGACAAAGGAGGAAGCAAGGGCAAGACACAGAGCCAGGGAAAGTTAAGCATGAAGGAACAATAGGTTAATAGGGGGTTTTGATGACTGGAGGAGCATTTGGTCTTTAAGGTTTTGTAGGAAAATTGGATTGCCCAGCCGGGAAAGGCTGAGTAGGTAGTGAAACAGGAAATGGAAGAGAATGAAGCAGCACGAATGGGAGAAGGCAAAAAGGTGGGAAGATCATAGGCGAGAATTTCATGAGGATTGGGCACAGGGATGACTGTGGAAGAGGGTACCACAGGGACCTGTGGGTGCTGCGCAGCTCTAAAGTAGGAAGGTTGTGGAAGTCTTCCTTGGAGATGGAGTTGAGTCACTGACAAAGAATGAGGAACTCTCCTTGTCCTTGAGACTGCGGACTCCCACTCTCTCAAGATAAACGGGAATTGGCAGGAATTGGCTTGGTGAGCTTCTCCACAGTTAAGGCAAGGAAGGGATGGGTTATTATGGCCAGCTGTACCACAGACATGGAATTCTACCGGTGATCTACGATATTTAGCCAGGTGGCCAAGGTGAAAGCAATGTTTGCATTGTAGAGGAGTCGAGAACAATTCTCGCACTTAAAAGAGTGAGAATTGATGGAAGGTTCCTTGTAGTTGAAGGTAATTTTGGCAACCTTGCTTAAATAGCATTCCGAACTCAGGCAGACATAAGTGGCAGAGAGATGCTGGAGTACAAGTTGCTTCTGAATGCCAGGACCACATTACGTTATTGTTTTTGGATTTTAGTGTGCGGGATGAGGACCGTACACCGGCTAGAATCGAGAAAGGATATCCGTGTATTTGTGACAGGGGTGTTGTCACAAATACACGGAGTTGGAGAAGGAAAGATTGTCATCTCACTCAGTATCCTTAAATGACAATGCGCATACCACTTTTGAGGACATGGAAAAATGAGTTTAAAAGACCGTACCTCGTGAGTGCTTTGCTAAAGTAAGGTATCAGTAGTTCTCGGTCGAAGAGAAAATAATTTCTTACAAGATTGTTTTAGAAATGCAGCTTTGAGAGGAAGAGGTTTCCAGGCAGCGTATTTTTTTAGGAAGGGAACTAGAAGGAGTGTCAGCAACTGTGTCAGGATCTCAGGTATGGGTCGGAGATGGCTTCGAGCCAATCTGTCCAGTGATGAGCTATCGATCCGAAAATCGACATGCCACCGTGGGGAAGCCAGGAGCAAGGTCAAGGTAGAGTGAAGGTCAGAGGTATCAAAAGAATCAGCCGAAACGATTCAGATAATAAGGCATTGGCCAAAATCGATACTGGGTTTTAAGGAAAGTCAGTGAGCGTGATAGGGTAAGGAACCTCCATGGAGGAAGCAAAGTATGAATATGACTATTTATGATTATGTTTCTTTTTTATTTATATATTTTCTTTATTTAAAGAAAGACGGGGGTATGGGGAGAGGCAGCTCCGAAGAGAATTAAAAAAAAAAACAGTAAACCTCTTCCGGATCCAAGAGTACCCTCGATGCTGCCAGCAATTCCGATGTTGTACAGAAACCATTACCTTGTATACCAAGAACCCCAGTACACCAGGATTGCACCTCCAGAATCAACCGAACCAGGCTCAACCAACAAGGTCGTTCAAAAATGCCTTCAGCTGCCACTTCCGAGAACTGAAAGGCAGCATCCAGATGTAGTTTTGTTAACTAAAGACATGGGAGGCTACATACTGGAGCCCCGAGGCCAGCTCACTATGTCTCCAGATAATCCAAATTCCCGCGTCAAACAGCACAACGCCAAGGTCCTCAACGGAATGGGAGAGATAATGATCTATTATTTCCTCTGAAATTCAAAAAGGGGGAACTATCCCAAATAGGACGAAGGGGGAGAGAAGGAGAGGGGAGTGGGTTATTCAGATTCAGTCCGAGGAAGGAAACATGAAGTCTAGTTCCTCGGATCAAGAGCACCTTCGCCACGCCAAGAGACCCCTCTTGAAGGAGCTCTGATGAATAAATCACAACACATATAGAAATGGAACAATTGAGTTGGGTACTTGTGTTGGAAGTCAAAACTTGTTTCGACAGATTCTCTCGCTGGCTGTTTATGAGAAAGGAACCAAGGCCTAAGGCCTGTTTTTCTTACTCAAATAAACTTGTCATATTATTTTAGGAATTAGTGTCCTACCTTTATATAAAGTCTGATACTGTCCTTTCAGTCTTGAAGTCATTCTTGTATTAGTCAGGTCTGTGCTGTATTACATATCTCATTTAGGCTAAATGCCATTCTTCTGCCGGTTATTTAGCTTTAAATTAACATACATTACTATCATGTTCTATTAAATTACTTAACATTTAGTATGGTTCTTATTTCTCATATATTAACAGTAGCATCCTGACGACCTCTTCACTCAAGACAGCACAGAGCGATTAGACCAGTAGTATCGTGTGTCTTGTAACTGCTGTGTCTACTTGTTATGAAGGCTCTAGTCTTCTCCAGGCCATAAAGCAATATCCTCACTACTCTAGAAGTCTTAATAGGTTAGGCTGTGCCTAAATACAATTACAGATTAGGTCAGGTTAGTTTAGGTTAGGTCAGGTTAGGTTAGGTTAGGTTAGGCTAGCTTAGGTTAGGTTAGGTTAGGTTGGGTTAGGTCAGGTTAGATTAGGTTAGGTTAGGTTAGGTTAGGCTAGCTTAGGTTAGGTTAGGTTAGGTTGGGTTAGGTTAGGTTAGGTTAGGTTAGGTTAGGTTAGGTTAGGCTAGCTTAGGTTAGGTTCGGTTAGGTTAGGTTAGGTTAGGTTAGGTTAGGTTAGGTTAGGTTAGGCTAGCTTAGGTTAGGTTCGGTTAGGGATGGGCATAAATACAACTGAAATATAGGTTAGGAAGGGATGTGCTGAAGAATCAAATAAACACTGATAACGTTACTACAACTTCAAACTCACTCTTCCATTCTCATTCTCATGGTATGGTAGTGTACAATGGTGATTCTAAATGCCTCGATGGTGTCACGTATGTCGCTGTTTTTCCCGATAGAATAATCCAGGATCATTTACTATAATTGGATAGTGTTTTTACAGCAGAATTATTTGCAATTCTGGCAGCTGTCATATACATTACGCCCATATCCGCCTCGTTATTCGTAATTTCTTTGAATTCACATTGCGTATGTTAGGTTATCCTGAAATTCGACTTCCCTCAATACCATCGTCCTTTATATACACTTTTGATTGCATCACATTTCTAGTAGGCACAAAGAAATCTTTTGTTGCTGGGTTCCCGGAAGCATCGATGTTCGGGGCGGTGAATAACATGAATAAGCAGACTCAACCGCTCGGTCGGCTATTCATGACTTCCTGATTTCCCCACACGTATTTTCCTTTTTTCTCCTAATAACTCTGCAAGTATTGGCAACAACATTGTCCAAGTAGGACAACAATAAATTGTTTTCTTTTAGACGACATTCAGGATTCTGGACATCTTCCCACTGCTGTCGTGTTTGGGAGACTACACACTATCGCTTACATAACGAACGCCGGCGACTCACGGATACCACATGGAGAAATAAGCAGCACTTCAGTCCACCACTTCTGACATCACCATCTCAACAGCCTGACTCTATGAAGTTAAGACACATGTGTAACATCTGGTTATCTTTACTCTAGACGTTTCGCCATCCAGTGGCTTTATCAATACAGATTCTAGGACATAATTAGAAGACAGTAGAACTATATACAAAAGATGGTGTTGAGAGCTCCGTAGTTGTAGTGATTCTGGAGCAAAGGTAAGAAGACTGGCGTTTATATAGGCGTCAGTGGATAGGGACGTGTAGCAGACGAGGTCATAGTCACTGGTAGGCGGGATTCCCCAATGGAAGTAGGTCCTACCCAAAGGGATGGGTACTTCCACTCAAATCCCGCCTACCAGTGACTATGCCCTCGTCTGCTACACGTCCCTATCCACTGACGCCTATATAAACGCCAGTCTTCTTACCTTTGCTCCAGAATCACTACAACTACGGAGCTCTCAACACCATCTTTTGTATATAGTTCTACTGTCTTCTAATTATGTCCTAGAATCTGTATTGATAAAGCCACTGGATGGCGAAACGTCTACAATAAAGATAACCAAATGTTGCACATGTTTCTTAACTTTCATCTTGTCGGTATTGTATACCTTTCTTGCACAGCCTGACTCTAACTGGCCTCCTCGATGAAAGTCTCAGCTTCTATAAGCTCTCTTTGACTCTCTTTAACTAAACTATTGCACCAATTTTTATTTAAATTTTACTCTTGCATCCTCTCCTACCTCCACCAACTCCTACCCTCACATTCCCCTACTCATCACTCATACCTGCCGTTTTGCACATCCCTCTCTGCAGTGTTATACAACCCTTTTAGGTTTAGTGCTTAAGTTGATGATGATGATAATAATAATAATAATAATAATAATAATAATAATAATAATAATAATAATAATAATAATAATAATAATAATAATACGTTGGAAATGATGGTGTTGGTGAACAATTTACATCTTGTGGGAGAAAACCTACTGTCGAGAGGGAGAAACTGTTGGTCGGGATGGATGCTGTATACTGATCTGGCTGGTACACTGGTCTGGTAAACCTTTACGTACGAATGACTTCTAGACAGGCCTGGGGGGCGGGCGTGTTGTAAAACTAACCTGCACACTGGTCTGAGAGGAAAGGCTCACCTGGTGAAAAACATCCAAGTTCATTATATAATGCATTGGTTTATTTAATGTATAATTGTTAATGTTAAGTCGGTATTGTTTTTATACCAAAGTAATACTTGTCGTAGTTTGACAGCTGAGACTATGTTCAGAGGTATGTTGTAAAAAATTATCGTTGTCATTTTATATATATATTTTTTGTGATTATTTATATTGTGGGTGTGGTGGAGGTGCTTGTCGTCACCCGATACACTAATCATTGCGAAGCAAGCAGTGTTCAGTGTTCACAGCTGTCAGTTACACTGTTCACTTGCTCTCCATCACTTGCTCAGAGACGGACAGGAAGCGTTGTGTCGTCTCTTAGGGAGGACAAACAATAGTCAGTCTGGGTTCATTTGACATCCCCATACACACAGACACCTTATTGATCACAACAACCTGTTGTGATGTCATGTTTCTTCAGCTTTTATCCAAAATTAAGCATATTGCCAATCCTCATAGCATCTTCAGAGTATCCACAAACACTGCTACACTCTCACGAACACGTAACATACACTGTCAGTGTGAATTTGTGACAGCATTGGGTCGTATGTGAATTTACAGTGTTCTGAGTCTAGGACATAGTTTCTGTGAAGCGATTTTGTGATTTAGACTGTTGAAGCATGTGTCCTGAGTGGACTGCGAGTTTACAGAGAGAACACTGTCTTCGAATTAATTTTAAACCATTTTGGGTGTGAGTTTTATTTACATGTGTAGTAGTGGATTCTGTTTTACAGCGGTGCGGACTTTGTCTACTTAGTGAGTGGCCTTATTTTTTGCTCAGCTTTGAGAACAATGTATGTTCAAGGAATGAAAGGCTTTGATCACCGATTTATTTTGGCTGCGTTGTAAACACAGGGGGAAAGGGGGCTTAAACAGCACGTATCACCATGTATATGAACTGTTCACTTGGAGTCGTGTGCAGGCGAGGTGAACACTAATACTTCTGTGTGTTTTTCTAATAAATAATTTATGTTTATCCTGTAACAACTACTTCCCTAGCAAGCCTCTAAATGCCTTTATTCAGTAAAGACAACAACAGGCCATGCCTTGGTAGCACGGCCTCTACACAGTACACTGACGTATACAGTAAACTGGTCAGAGAGGGGTGACAGTGAACTGTACACAGGTCTGAGTAGGCTGAATTGCAGAACGGTCTGGAAATAAATGGCCTGCACAAGTGGACTTCAGGGAACTAACCTGTACACTCTTCAGGGGGGCAGGAGTGCTCGTCCTCTCCGCCTGGACAATCGAAGTGGCCGTCACAGAGGAGCGTTGGTCCCACACAGGAGCATAAGGCATCTTCATCGATGCAACCTAGCACTCCATCACCACACTCACACCCTGCAACACCAACACTGGTTAGCAACCCTTCACCAAACACCGTGCAACACCTTCATATCTGCACAACACCCACGCAAAACCACCTACGCATCAACCACACCAACCCAACACCCACACATCAGCACCTACATCACACCTTCATAAATATCCCACACCTCTACATAACACCCACACAGCACCTTCACTTCAAACACCCACACAACACACACAACAATACCCAAACACATCATTCACAGCAACACAACATCCACAACATCACCCATAACACAACATTCACAGCAACACAACACCCACAACAATTCCCACAACAACACCCACAGCAACACCCACAGCAACACCCACAACATCACCACACACACCCCAACCCACAAACACACAAACAACACAACACCCAGAGCAACACAACCCACAGCAACACAACGCCCACAACATCCACAGTAATACATACACAAGACATACACAACACTATAGCTAGAGCAGTTTTAATCCCCATGACTTGATTCCGTCAATTTTATCGACTAGTCAATTTTACTCCCAATATACAAAAACATATTTAAAAAAAATTATTACTAAAATTTACATTTAAAAATTACATTAAGAAAATTGCATTAAGAAATTACATTAAGAAAATTGCATTAAAAACTACACTAGATTAAAAAAAGGTATAGGTATTAATGGTTATAATTACAACCATAATTTTTAAAGGGGTGGACTGGTAAGCCAGTGGAATGTCTCGGTCAGATGGCCAAAAGCTCCAGCTGCTGGTCATTATATGACTAAGACGCGCGTCAGGAAGCACTTGTCCTGTTTCTTGACAAATCTTACTTAACTTAACCTAACCTAACCCATACTTATCTACAAAGCAGGTGACAAGTCCTTAGCTTCGAACTATAGACCAATAAGCCTCACCTCCATAGTGGGAAAATTTAAGGAATCAATAATTGCCGAAGCAATTAGTAGCCATCTTGAAAGATATAAATCGATTAATGAATCTCAGCACGGTTTTACAAAAGGGCGTTCCTGTCTTTCGAATTTACTAGCTTTTTTTGCTAAGGTATTTGAGTAGGTAGATCATGGTAATGAATATGATTTTGTGTATATGGACTTCTGTAAGGCTTTTGACAGTCCCACATCGGAGACTATTGAGGAAAGTCGAGGCACACGGAACAGGAGACAATTCTTCATGGAAAGAGACATGGATGACAATTAGGCAATGGGAAGAAATCACAGTGGGGAAGCCTCACAAGCGGTATTCTACAGGGGCGGGTGTTGGGCCCATTGTTGTTCACTATTTACATAAATGATATAGATGAGGGTGTAAATAGTGACATAAGCAAGGTTACTGATGACACCAAAATAGGCCGTTGAATTCATTCTAAGACACTAGAGTGCAAAGTTCTAAGCATTAGGAAGGTAAATAACAATGATACTTATAAACTAAATAATGTAGATCTTAATATCTCTGACTGCAAAAAGGATTTGGCAGTTCTGGTTAGCAGTAATCTAAAGCCCAGATAACTGTGCTTAAGTAAAGTGGTATGTGGAAATTTATTTGGTCCCTAAAGTTCCACAGGACAGATACGACGTACGAAGGGGTCCCAGCATAGCCGTAATGGGACGGCTGAGCTGGGTGGCCCTTAAACCCTCCCAAACAAACAGCATTCTCTCTAGTTGGCATGGATTGTTGGTAAGCTTATTTAATTCATAGATTTACCCTTCAGGTATGGAGTAGGTAGTTTTACTGGTAGTACACTAATATTAGGATCATTGAGGCAACTGTAGATAATAATAATGTAGACCTAAGACCTTAACATAGGTAGTAATAGGCCGATAATGTAGGCAAACACTAGGATAAGTTAGCTAGGGAGAACTGGCAGCCCTAGTTTAAACGAAGAGATGAGGGTCTGGAAGAGAGACCAGCTCGTTCTTCTTAAGACAGACACCAACTGGACAAGACATGCTGTGATCAGCAGACGGCGCCCCCCACGTGTCTTCACATTTGAGACCTGGGAAATCTGGTAGAGGCACCTCGATGTACCATAGATGATCTCCGTCAGGCCCATACAGTAAGACAGAGAAGATAAGATAAGATAAGATAAGATTTCGTTCGGATTTTTAACCCCGGAGGGTTAGCCACCCAGGATAACCCAAGAAAGTCAGTGCATCATCGAGGACTGTCTAACTTATTTCCATTGGGGTCCTTAGTCTTGTCCCCCAGGATGCGACCCACACCAGTCGACTAACACCCAGGTACCTATTTGCTGCTAGGTGAACAGGACAACAGGTGTAAGGAAACGTGTCGAAATGTTTCCACCCGCCGGGAATCGAACCCGGGCCCTCCGTGTGTGAAGCGGGAGCTTTAGCCACCAGGCCACCGGGCCACAAGACCTCCACTTTATCTCGTAGATTTCTGGCCAGTGTCTTGGGAGAATTGTGAGTGAGTTTGATCTGTGGGCCCGGTGTGCAACAGGCAGTGCATGCCCAGTAAGTACCAGTGTCTCAAGGCAGTCTGGAAGCTAGTGTCCGTGTCTGCATAGTTATGCTAGGGGATACATACCCTCTTGGATATAGGAATTTCTGAGGTGCAGGCAGGTCACTAATAATGATTGAATATTGCAGAAATTAAGGCTCCCGGTTGCACGTGGTTTCTGAGGGGAAGTCCAGAGGGGCTAAGGCTAAGCTTAGGGAAGTTGAAGATCTGGATATATGCTGCAACACCAAGTAAGTTAGTCCTTTATACGTGCATGCAGGCGAGTTTCTTGCAACATCAATCATTTGTGAAAATCTGTCCTATAAGCCACTTGTGAGGCTGAGGTATCCACCTCAGAGCTCGGTGTCAACAGAGTTTGCCAGGGTAGGCGACTCACTTGGAGGCAGTCCACACAAATTTTCACATGGTAACTTGACTTACGAGTTTAATTCGTTCCGTGATCCAGCTCGCAACTCAGTTTGCTCGTATATCAAATCAATTTTCCTCTGGAATTAATTGAAATGCCATTAATCCATTCCAGCGGAATTCCTAGCTCTCGAGAGGCGGGAGAATATACTTCAATATAACGCTAATATCAACTCTATGGCTTATTTATCTATCACAATTGATCTAATATGACATAATAAACAATATAAATTACATAGAAACATTATATATACTCTAGAATGAATAAAATATGTCATGTGACGAGTGGTGTCGGCCACTCCCGAGGTAAAAGTAATTATCTCTATGACCATATCTTCCCATTCTTTCCCTTCTGAGGTATTATTATAAGAGAAAACGAAGTGCTTTTGAGGCTAACTGCACTAGATCACTAGATTCATAAGGAAAACTCTGAAACAAAATAAATTTTCTGGGAATTTTTTTTCCAGATTCAGGAGACTGGCCTAGGTTTATGGTGTATATCTTGGACATCAATGGGCATCATCCTCTCCTTCTCAGCACTATCCTTAGTACTTACTTTTTTTAGTACCCATGGTTAGAAAAAAAGAAATTTGGCAAAATAACTGCACAAAAAGAAAGCACAACACAAGAGAGATGCTTTCAAGGCGAGATAAGCAAGTGCACTGTTGTGGCATTCACTGCGCCAACAAGTGGCGGCGTATCTGAAGCTCACTCGTAACTCGGATTTTGGCTTGCAATTCAAAGCAAAAAATCGACTGAGTGACTGCTCGTAAATCGGAAAGCTCGTAAGCTGGGGCACTCATAAGTAAAGGTACCACTGTATTCGAAACAAAGTGAATAAAATTCTTGGCTTCATATCAAGAAGTAAACATAACAGGAGTCCTCTGGTTGTTCTTCAACTCTATATAACTTTGGATAGGTCTCATTTAAATTAATCTGCACAGTTCTAGTCACCTTATTACAGAACGGATTTAAATGCACTTGTAAATGTACAAAGGAGGATGAAATCTTTCCTACGAGGACAGACTAAGGGACCCGGATCTGCACTCTCTAGAAAGGCGTAGAATTAGGGGGGATATGACTGATGTGTATAATGGAAAACAGGAAAAAATAAAGGGGACGTAAATAATGTGCTAAAAATATCTAACCAAGACACGACTCACAGCAATGGTTTCAAGTTGGCAAATCTTAGATTCAAAAAAGATATAGGAAAACACTGGTTTAGTAATAGAGTTGTGGGTGAGTGGAACAAACTCTCGAGGAGTGTCATCGAAGCTAAAGCTTTGTGTAGTTTTAAAACTAGGTTAGGTAAATACATGATTGGGTGTGGATGGGTGTGAGCTGGATTTGCCTCGCATTGGACAGTAGGCCTGCTGCAGTGCTTCTTCTTTCTTATATTCTTATGTTCTTAACTAACCTAACTTAACGAAACCTAACCTAACCTAACCTAACCAAATCTAGTCATATACTAAAACAATTAAATTTGATCTAATCTCTGAATCCCATTAAAACATAGGATGCATTCACTTTTAATAGCAAACTTGTTTGTAAATTATTATCACTATTTAAATCCTTTCTCTCTCTGTTGTGACATTATTTTCTTTGTGTCTGAAGATTCTATATTCAAACTCATTAATGGACACAGGATCCAAGTTAGGGATGAGGGACATTCATTAATTATCAGTTTTTCTAGTGTGTAAGTACTGGAATACCTCATTATTACACTGCTTCGCTAATACGGCTTTGTCCACTTATATTTATGTTAATTATTTTCGGTGATTGTATTGTTCTTAAGATGGTTTTCAGCAATTTTCAATAATTTTCATTCATTATTTTTACTTTTCCATTTTTTATGCAGGTCTAGCGCTATTGCACATGAAATAAATTATAGTATAAACATGTCTTCAGGGTTTTACATGCACTGGCAAGTGAGAAAAATGGCCGTGATTCGCTTCAAGGCGATATTTGTTTCTTGACTGAAGTCCATTTATTTCAAGGTTTTAAGTTGTGTGTTCAGAGATGCTCTTCTGCATACTGTTGCAACACATGGTTATTTGAGTTACTGTTGCTATCATGTCAGCTTTAATCAGTCTGGCCATTCTCC